ACACACACAAATACACGCACGCACATGCGCACGCACACGCATGCACACCTGCACTATGTTGGGGTGTGACAGAGACGAGGATATGGCCGCCTCCATCACAGCCTGCGGTAGTGCGGGTGCACAGCAACGGTTGCTGGTCAGAGCCACTGAGGTGGGCTGTGACAGCAGCATGGGCCACGCCCCAGGTTTTGAGCCCACACCCGGCTGCTGGCGGAACACACGGGAGGCTTCTAAGCAGCGGCGGCAGGGGGAGGGATGGCAGCGCCAGCAGCAGCATCACCGGCACGGTCAGCAGCGGCGGCAGCGACGTCAGCAACAGTAGCTCCGGCAGCGGCAGCGGCAGCACCGGGACACAAGCAAAAATGCGGCCGCCCCCTCTGTGGCGTGTGGCGCACCATCTTCTCCCTCTTCTCCGCGCCGCTCATGTTGGCCGGCAGGATCATCGTCTTGACCGCCACGGTGGTGCCGCGCCACAGGCCCTTGAACACCTTGGACAACGGGGGCGGCAGCAACGTGTGCGCTGTAACGCCCACGGAGGTGGCCAAGCAACCATCCAAAAAGTGACCGGGGCTGGGCCTCATCTGACTGGCACAAATCTGCACGCACCCGCAAGTCCACACAACACAACGCGCACCACAACGACATATCTTTCCGCCTTCCGCTGCTCCTTGCTGCTGCTCATAACCTCGTCCTTGTGCACACCCTTTTCCCAGCACCCGGTCTGGCCATATACCACAACACTCTGATCGCACAACACACCCCATAAACAAACAGCAGGCCCTCTCCTTGCCCCCACCTTGCCGAAGGTGCCCTCCCCCAGCAGGTCAACCGTCTGGATGCTCTCCAGGTCCTGGGCGATGCTGTTGCTGTTGACCGCCAGCTGGCGCCGCATGTTCTCGATGCGATCTAGAGCAGAGGTGACCATGGGGTTGTGCAGCGGAAGGGGTTGTTTGCGACGCGGCACACAGCGCGACGGACAGGGGTGAAGGGACACATGGGATCAGGCCGCGCGGGCCCGCCTCGGGCGCGAGGCTGCGTGCACCACAGCAAGGCGCCCCAGTGCAGCACAGCAAGCCCAGGCACACGCGATCGCCGCAGGCCCGCGTCGCGTGCGCGCAGCGCCCGCTGGGCGCCGAGGCTCAGAGCTGCCCGCCGTTGCCAGAGCCCATTTGCACCCAAGCCACCCGTTGCCGGGGAGCATAGCGCTCGTGCTGACCGCCCCCAGCACCCACCGAGCGTAAGCCCCTGCGACACGGTGCCGTGCACCAAGCCGTCAGAGCTGCTGTGCTCCTTGACAACGCCGCCGCTGCCGCAGCAGCTGCCGTGGCGCCTCGGGCTGCCCAGCACCGCCAGCAAGTTGTACTGCCTTACTAACAGGGCGTCCAGGCGCAGCTTCTCCTCCTGGAGCTTCGCAGTGGTGTCCGCCAGGCGGACATTTGCCTCCTGCAATTGAGCGTTGTGTGTTTGGCGCAATGCGGGAACTGAGAGCTGTCACACAGGATAGTTGGCCAATGGTTGGCCAAGCATTGTAGCCCAGACTTTCACCACCCTCCGCCCAACCTGCAACTACCCAGCCACAGCGCCGCCGCGTTGCGTCCTTCTCCAAGCCGTCACGAGTTGGCGCCCACACCCCTCCCCTCCTGCCGCCCGACGCGCACCATGACCGTACTCAGCAGCCGCCGCCGCTGCGCCCACGACGCGGTGATGACTCCCACCAGGGCCGCCACCACACCGCTGACCAGCACCACCGCCGCAATCAGGCCGCGCTCCCACGGCGGCCGCCACCCGTCCTCGGGCTCCTGAGGGGAGTTGAGCAAGGGCGAACATGGTGTGTGTAGACAGGCTCGTCAGTGGTGATGGGTGGTATCAGCACACCGCTGCAGGCAGCGTAGCATCGCCGTCGACGCAGGCCCTTTGATATCAGTCCGAAACATTGCATGTGGTGAGGTGATTGTCCCAAGCTCTTGACCTTGGCAAACATGCACAACCTCCATTTCCCCAACATGCATTAGTACAGGCCTGTGTTCCCAGAAAGCCCAGCGAAGGGAAGAATCCTGGAGCCGCAGCAGACCCCACCACCTGCACCCGTCCAGCCAGCCAGCCAGCCAGCCGGCCAGCCAGCCAGCCAGCCACCCACCCACCCACCCATGCACCCACCAGGTAGGCCCTCCACACCGCGTTGCCTAGGCTGATATTGCTCTCCACCGCGCCGCCCGACGGCCACGCGCTCGAGTTGGCGAACACAAACTGGCCGCGGCGGTTGGTCCACTCTGGGCGGTGCAGGCTGCTGTCGTTGAGCTCCGACGACGTGTAGGGCCGCGTCATGCTGACGTTTTAGGAAGGGAATGTATGTACGTGTGTGTGTGTGTGTGTCACAGGTGCAGCATCGCAGCATACACTGCTGAGTACATGCCCGGCTCTCGCAGCCTCGCGCGGAACACAGCACATCATGCGCAGTATGGCTCGCCAGCAGTGACATAACACACCGCAAATCCAGGCCCACACTCATGCGTTTCATCCATCGTTGAACAGATGCAGCAAGCAACACCATTCTCCTGCCCCACACGCGCATCCCTCATCCCACACACCCCAGCCACTCACAGCCACTTGTAGCCCTTCTGTTTCAGCAGGTCCAGCCGCGTGTCGTTGCCGGCCCTAAGGTCGTCCAGGGGCCCCACGGCGGTGGCAAACCCCCAGAACCGCTCTCTGGTGGTGGCGTTGAAACACAGGGAAACGGGGCAATCCACGGGGGCTGCGCAGGAAAAGCGGGGGGGGGGGGAGGGGGCGCGAGGGAGGGAGCTCGCGTGTGAGTGTTGAATCAGGGTGCGCATGCTGGGTGTGTGGGGATGGTGGACGTGCTGGTTTGATGGATGTGAACTGTTGCTCCACCCTTGATTGTGTGACGGATGGAAGCAGAGGGCAACGCCGTGAGGAAGCACACGCATTCTTCAGGGGCGTACAAGCCTAGGGGTCCCCTGTGCCGGTCGCAGCCACGCACTAGAGCTGACGCTCTCACATCGCGCGTCCACAATCAAGCACGCGGCGGCCAGCTGAATACCCACCAACTGCGGCCACGCCCCACGTCTCATTTGCAGTGGCGTTTGAAATGAATATCGGGATGCGGGCGATGGTGCCAAAGTTTCCCTGGACCAATTTCAGGGGGCCGTTGATCACGATCTGGTTCGCCACGACCGTGTCCAGCGCGCCCCCGCGCAGTGCGGGCTGCGAGGGGGCGGCAACGGGGCGGCACGGCGGCGCGGGGCGGGGCGGGGTCGGGTGGCACGTGGGGCGGAGGCGCCGCGACGAGCGCGGGGATGCAGCGCAGGGGCGGGCGTGCTGCTGACAGGCGGGAGCCGCACCAGGAATTGCTCCAGGCAGCCAGCAGGATTACTAGCAGGACCGACAAGTGAGCCACACACGACCGCACGCACACACACGCGCACAATCACAAACTGCACACTCGGTTATCGCCCTCTAACCACTGACTCCCCTCGACCCCCCACCGTCAACACGCGCGCACCAACCCAGCTACCTGTTTGAAAATGTTTATGCCAAGCCGCGAGTCTGTGTTGTTGTTCTTGGGGTGTATGCTGCTGATGACGCCCATCGGCGACAGCTGGAGCTCCTGGATTATGCTGCGCTCCTGGTTGACCTGGCGGTTGGCGGTTGAGGCGGTTGCAGCGGTTGGCAATCGCGGCAGCTGGCGGTTGCAGCGAGTCGCCAGCAGGGCGTTTGACGTGTGGGTCGGAAGAGAGCGCCCTCTTGCACAGCACGCTGGGCACGCAGCGGCACACCCCGGAGCTCTAGACTTGGCAGCCGCCCCCAGGGCACCGCAAAGACCCCAGCAGCTGCCGCCCCCGCCCGGCCGCACGCACCCCTGCCTGACCAGTGACCGCCCTGTCCGTGCCGATATCGCGCGCCGCACAACAAAGTCACCCTGAGAGGGGCGCACCGAGTGGAGCAGCTCCTCCGCTATGGAGGGGAACTTGGCCCTGAGGGCCGGGAACTGCGGGTTCTGCTGTATGAGGATGCTCAGGGTCACCAGGGGCGTGAAGATCTTCTCAGCCGACAGCCGGAACGACGCGGCCTGGTGCGGCGCGAGGGCGGGGGTACCGCAAGAGCAAGGTCGTGCACGTTAATGGCACGAGGGACGTACAATGCAAGGGCCGGGGACAGGCGTCCCCACCGGCGCGGTGCGCCCTGCAAAGCAGCAACGCCTTGGTGGCATTGCTCGCTGCTGGCTTGTCGGCCGCGGGGCGCCCCTCAGCCGCGCGCAGCAGCAGGCCGCCGCCCCGCGATTTCGCGCTCACCCAATCCAGGGCCGCGCTCTCTGCCCTGCCGCGCGTGTCCGCCTCAAACTTGTCTGCCCCCAGCACCACGCCCGCCACGCTGGCCGAGGCCAGCAGGAGGAACGTCAGCAGCGGGGGCAGCAGCATGAACGCGGGCCGGTCGCGCACGTTGCGGCAGTGCTCCTGGGGCGGCGGCGGGGAAGTTGGGGAGGCGCAGGGCAGTGGGCGGTTGGGTGACAGACCAGAGGAGGCCTTTTCCAGGTTTGTGCCAGCGAGCGCACTGCGGCATGCGCGGCCGGCAGGACATCGGCAGCCATAACAGTGCGCGTTCGGGGTTTTGACATGGCAGCGGCATTTTGGACGCCCTGCAGCAAGCGGGTGCCCGGCGAAGTAGTGTGGCCGCCTCCACGGACCGCCGCGTGTCGGCCAAACTGGCGCTGCTTGCTGCCACCGCGTTTGAAGCTACCACAACGGAGCTCGTACCTGGAGCATCTGTTGGCCTTTTCCCAGGCACCCCTTGGGCCGTGCTGGCTGCTCCACGTGCTCTGGCGTCTTTGCGAAGAGCGGGTCATTCGCGTGCAGCGCCGCTGCCCCCGTGGTCCTGGCTGTCTCGGGCCTCCGCTGCTCCGCACTGCGCCTGTGCGGCCGCAGGTCTAGAGCCAAGCCTTCCACACTGAGGGGTACGGCCGGGGTGATGGGCGTTCCCCAGTGGGCCTCTCTGCCGTGCCCCGACATCGCGCTCCGCCTCTTCAGGCCGGCATCGAGGCACGAGCAGGTCACAAGTAAGGCATAACAATTATCACTCGACCGCCATACTTTTGACCACACCAGGTGGCCTGGTTGCGGACACACTGTAAGAATCGTGTTGTGTCGAGACGCGGGAGGTTGGTTCGACGGCTATGGTGTTGACATCAGTCACCTCAATCTCTCTGGCATAAACGTCGAATTTCCTTCCGTGAGATGGGGCAGCAGGTTGCGGGCGTGGCGCCGCTTTTGTTATGATGACTCAACCCAGTTGCGAAGCGCTGCGACGTCTGCGTGTGCACGGCGGCGATGACGCACGGCAGCGGAGGCACCAGCTACCCGAGTACCCAGCTCACCTGATGTCTACATCGAAGAATTCATGATCGAGCAAACGCCGCAGTGCTGTCCTGTGCGCAGTCGCTGGCTGGGAACTGCATCGTCCCCAACCAAGACGGCAATGATGGCGCGGCACG